CTTTATTTATCACACTCCCCTTTAAAAGTAATACATTCAGCCCATTGCTTTTCTAAAATTTTAATACCTTGTTGATAGAACGATTTGTCTTTGCTATCAAACTAGGCTTCAACTTTGGCATCACTTCTTCATTTGAGCCAAACCTCTTTCCCTGGAGCATTTTTTTAAGTTCCGCAAACAGCCAGTAATCACTGGGAGGTGGCAGATATGGACTGTACTGTGGGTGAGAAAGTAATTCGAAGCGCAATTCGCTTAATTTTGATCATCGTTTTCATAGACTTGTAGCACGAAACACATTGTCTAGGTGAAACAGCACTTTTTTTCTTTTGCATTTGAGGAATTTTTATTTCTTTATTTTTCATTCAGTTGATCCAATAACGCCACACAATATTCACTATTAATGGTTTTGCCTTTCTCAAGGTACTCAATTAACAAAATTCCTTATCCATTCCCTTTCAAAGTTGCTCTTTCAAGCATAAATGCTCGACAACGTATAGGGTCTAACGCACGTTAAATCAGTGGAGTTTTAAATTCTTTCCGTTGGTATTGCTTGGAAGTTAGGATAGGGAGGTGCCAGTTCAGGTTAGTCACTGTATCCTCTCCTCTTGTTGGGTGAGGTGGAGAATCCACTAAATCGGAAATAAAATTATTACAAACAGTTATATGCAATAATATATTTTTTAATAAGATAAACATTAGAGAGCTGAGTACGCGAGCAATATGCGTCAAATAAAAATTGAATCAAAGTTAAATGTAAATATAAAATTACTTCATTCTATTACTGGTTAAAAAAATTAACCAATTTGGCTGGATGGAGGGAAATTTGAGTTGCAGAAGATAGACTGGCGGGTAGCACATTATTATAGGTGCCATCTTCGTTCTTGATCATGGTTCAAAATTACGAAATCTATCGCCAATAGCTCTTACGTTGCTTCTGAATGCAAAGTCAAATAAAAATTGAGTCAAAGTTAAGCTTAAAATATAAAATACCTTCATTCTATTACCTTCGTCCTAAGGTCTCCTCTAATATATTGTTCAAATTTAATCCCAAGTCACACTGTTTCTTCATTGCATAACTCTAGGCTTTTGACTCATTTAGTACCAATCCCGTTAAAATTTAAAATTATCATTTTCTTAGAACTGTTAACGCATCTTTGTTTTGTGGTATTTGTATTTATTTTTGATCTTAAGTTTGTTTTTTACCTTAACCCTTTATCTACCGACGGTACTTGTAAGTACAATTAATTTAAAATAACATTGAATAACCAATTTTACGAATATTCTGACAATACTTAGCAGGAATACTCTTTGAAATCCTCTCTTCCAAGATGTATGGCAGCACGGGTTCTATGATGAGTATTTTAGCGGAGAAGGCGAATAGTTTTATAGCAGAAATTGCGTTTTCAGCTGACGGTGTTTTCAGTGGATTGCAAAGATTATCATTTTTGTCCCGAATAAATAGTTAGTGTCAAAATGTGTCTTTTTTTTTTATTTATTTCTTATTTATTTTTTTTTATATGTTAATGAGGACCTTAGAAAAAAAGATTTGACTCTTTATTTTAAGTGAACCGTGTATATAATTAATTTTACAGTAGAATGTCTTTAGTTAATTAATTAGCTCTAACGGATTAAATTTCCCAAAGTTGAGTATTTTGTTTATGTATATCCATTAATTTTCAATGTAGTGATCCAAAAAAAATATTGATCCATGAAAAAAACTGCAGTAAATCATAATGCGGTAGATAAAGGGTTAAAATTCACCACTTTTCTCCTCTATCATCACATTAAGAGCCATCAAATTTGATCAAATATACTATATTTGCAGTGATCATAACTCAAAATTTACGAGATTCTACCTTTTGTAATGTATCCTTAGAGTATTTTTATTTCACGTTCCATTTCAGTCGATTAACAACTTAATAAATAATCCTTCCTCATCTCATTTTGTTCCTCGGGCGCTCTTTATCGATTATAAATTACTCTGTACATCTTGTTGCCAGGCCTAGAATCACCCAGAGAAGCCATCCCATTTTAGAAAGTAAATTTTATATGAGCCTTTTCTGATACGCTTTGCGATCACGATCTCTTTTGCGGAAAACGTATGCATGTTGTTACCAAGGAAATGGGCGGTGTAGTAACGGTCCTTCTCTTTAAGCCTAGTCACTAATAAAATAACCTGCTACCGCATCATCATCTGCCCACATCCACCTAACGCCCTATGCATCTAATTAAGACAACACTTTTCAGTAAGTGGGAGTTGTTGGAACAAAATGGTTTAAGTCAATTGTTCCAAAAAAAAGCAATGTTTGAAAGGTTTTGAATGCCTAAAGTTGTTTATTCTTGTGAAGTTGTGATATCAATACACATTGGATGTATGTATATGTTACCGCTTAAGTGTGTAAACCAGTTAATCTGTAGTTATCTGGGTAATCTGTACATTAACTAGGGCTATCTGTTAAAAAGGGCGGAAAATTGTTTTATTTCTCAAATTACCTAGGTAATCTGCAAATTAATTATATAATCTGCACATTACCTACTAAACTAGTGAATTTCAATCTCTTTTTGTTGTTGTTGCTGTACACTTTCAACAATTTTAAAAATTGGCAGCACACACACACACACACACTCTATATAAAATTAAAAAAATACACCAATCTCTAATATACTATATAAAATAGTTTCTGATAATAATGTTCAATGTTAACCCTCTAAGCGGTCTGCACTTAAAGTCTTGCCACTCTGGAGATGCTTCAAAAATGCACCGCACATATTTTTTTGCTTTCAGGTGGGGTTCTCAAAAGCGGTTGAGTCGTATTTTTAAGAATGCGGCTCGGCCGCTTTTGGGAATCTTGCTTGAAGGCAGAAAAAGCATCTCTGGAATGGCGGAATTTTACGTGTAGACCGCTTGGAGGATTAAATAAGAAATGTGCTGCAAAGACAACAAAATGTTTATTGAATAATTAATTACAAATTAATTTTGAGAATATATTTAATGTGAAATTTGAGATTGATGATTTTTGATAATTTCGTTCATATTTGGGTGTAAAATTGATCATCCACTCTCATTTCGTCATTTACATTTAAAAGACTCGATTTTTTTCATTATTATTTTTGTTTATGCTGAAAACCAAATTCATACAAATAAGATGTAGAGAATTGTAGCAATATTTTATTAGCTGTTTTTAGTATTATGAGATAACCGCCTATGATTTTAATCCAAAATGAACTAATTGACTCTTCTGAATGTTTTGAAATTAAATTTAATTATTACAGAGCGAAATTAGTTCTTCCTCTTCGTTCAAAGTTAATTCATATACACATGTATCCGTATCACAAATAGATTATGAACCCAATCAAAATTTTTTATATCTATCTGTCAATGAAAGTATAAATTAAATATACCACGATAACTCTTATTTTTAAAATGGTCGAATAATTCGATTCTGGGTTTTATTTTTTTTCTCAGAGTATATTTAATAATTTTAAGAAAATATTGGTGGCACACTTCAAAAACTAAACTTGGTGGCACACAAAAGTGCCAAGGCACATTGGTTGACAATCACTGTACTAGATACTCGTTAAAGTTAAGATATGATCTTTGGTGGAGAGAGAGAGAACATCAGCAACGTTTCTGTGAGCTCAAATTTAATGATAATTTATTTTTTCATATCTAAAGAATCAAGTTAATACAATAGAACAATCTGATTGAACCAATCATCAATCAAATGGAAAACGACACTACAAAGAAACAAAAGGTTTAAAATGTGGCAATTAAGAAACTTGACATAATGTTATTTATTTATTTTATGATATTTAAAGAATCACGTTGATATAATCAAGCAAACAACTAATTAGTTGATAGAATCAGTCATCCATCAATTGAAAAACTGTAATACAAAGAATCAAATGGTTTAACATATTATTACTACAGAGGGAATGAATCTGCGAAACATATGATAAAATTATGCTTACTTATTAGTGAAATCTAAAGATCGGTGAAGAAGATACTAGTCATTGAAATTAAATTTATTATAAATTAATTCAAGGAATCTTCTATCAAATACGTTTACTGTCTCTGTCACTCTGTTTCTAAATGTTTAGCATAGATTACTCTGGCATGAGTCAACGATTTCAATCAAAATTCCTAACAGAAACGAAACGGGAGAAACAAACTTTAGAACCTTAACGAAATGGAAACCGCTAATGTTAAGATTACATAAGTTAAAGAGCGGAAAACTCCTGATTCCGCACTTTAACGGAACAAACCAGTCAATCGGCGTATTAGCTAAGGTATATAAGTGAATATTAACTTCGTTCTATTCAGCTACATGAGGACTTTAGGCAACGGTGGTGATGTCAAGTTACGAGGATGCTCAAGCCCTTACGTTTGGACGTTTTCGAACTACAAGAAACGAAGTTACCAGTGTGACTGATCAACACTAGAAATGAACGGAGACTTGTTCAGGGACACAAGACAACTCCACTGAGGAAGAAAGGGGATATCGAAGATGTTTCTGGTGAACTGGACAATAGGGTGAAAGGTTGTACTTATCATATGAAACGCCCAGAATTCTATTGCTGTCAGCGAGTTAGGTACCTAATAAAACCAATTCCAGATTTATGACCACCATAAAATGTGTTAAAAGAGAGAATAATGTGAAATCTCCAGAAATACTTCAAAAATAGGGAGAAAAAATAATGAATTACGAGAAAAAAAAAGTTCGTTGTATAGAAATTACACCTCGCTATTAGGAAGTTATTCAATTCTTACTATTAGTTCACTCTCTCCCTATATATATATACCTTGTTCAAATTTTCAATCGTTAATAAAAAAATTTCTATTCATCCATTCTTCAAAGTTTGTAGTGGATGACACTTGATGTTAATACAGTTTTTCCAAATATTAATTCATTAATTAATTAAATTAAAAAATGAATAAACAGTAACAAACAAAAATAATAGTCCAACATCATATATAAAACAGGAAAATCGTTCTGTGTGTCCCTGTAATGCAATGGATTGGATGTTGGACTCCTAATCTAAAGGTCGTGGGTTCGAATCCCACCTGGGATAGCCCAATTTCTATAAGAATGTTGTTTCTTCTTTACTATACGATTTTATTAAAATAATTAAATTGAATGAATAAATAGTAACAAACAAAAAAATAGTCCTACATCCTATATAAAAAGGAAAATGGAAAATCGCTCTCTATTTTGTCACTTAATATTGTGATTCTGTCATATGTATATATATATATATAT